TTTGGCGTTGCTTTAGAAGTGGTTCGCACTCAGAAGTGCTTGGGGGTTATGATGCAAGACTCTGGCAGCGTTGGTGCCGAGATAACTCTTCGCTGCACCTCAACGAAAGGCGCCCTGAAGCCTGTTCGCAAAGTGATTGCCCCCCGCGCTGCCCTGACTCTCCCCAGGAAGATCACCTACGCCGAGGCGTTAGGAGCATCTAGGTTGCTGTATGCCGCGGCCACCTGGCCTGTGCTTCCTTGCCAGCAGCATACCGGAGTAAGATTGGCCCATGAGGCCATTTACCGTAGCGCGATGCGCCTCCCCTTCCGTAATAATGCGCAAGACGAACACCTGACCTACCAGGATGTGCTTGCACGGGCCAAACGTTTGGATGTGGATGAAGTGTTGCACATCTGCCGCCTGCGTCACCTCGCACGAATGCTGGCGCACTGCCCCCCCCCTCCCTCAGGACGGTTCTCGATGGTGAGCTTTTGTACCCCAAGAGCTGGGGGTCTCTCCTCCTTTCAAGTTGCCGTTGGGCTGAGAGTGTTCTGCTCCCCTCGGAAATGCCTACTTTCGAAGGACCCTGCCTGTTGCGCTGGGTCAGCTTTGCGAGGTCGCGCCAGCATGCGCATCGTGGCCTCATTCAGCGGGTGGCCCTTCGGGCCAAGACAAGCATGCTTGTGAGACACGACGCCAGGAATTGTGACCTTCTTATTAAGCAGGCGTCCCAGGGGTCGCCCCTCCCCCCACCGCCGCCTGCCCCGCTCCCCGCAGGTTTTGCGTGCTCCGACTGCGGTCACGTTGCCGCCACCGCTGCTCTCATGAGAGGACATATTCCCAAGCACCACAGGTCGGGTGCGACGCCCTACGACTTTGCCGTTGAGAGAGTATGTCAGGTGTGCGTGTGTGTGTGTCCGCGATTTTGGAAACCCCGCTCGCTCGGCCAAACACGCGCGCGCGGTCGACCCCCCCCCCCCCAGGGGAAGAGCGCGAACATGCGCGCTTAGGCCCAGGCGACCCAGCGTGACAATCGTGCCGAGGGGCTGCCCGATAATCATGCCAGTCGCGCCCTGTCCAGGATAATCGGACCTCCTGTTTGCCCTTTGTGGCTCGGACCTCCGCCCCCTCCTGCGGACCCCGCCCCCCTGGCCCCTGCCCCTGCCCCCATTCCCCCCCCCCCCCCTTCCTTAGTTCTCCCAGAGCTGCCCGAGGTCAATGTCCGCCACCTCCCCCTTCTCATCAGCCCTGGCGAGTGCTGTTGCGAGCTTGTTCAGGCTTGGAGGTTGGCTATTGACATGACCCCGGCCCAGATTGCGATCACCCGCGCGGTGGTTGACCCCCAGCGCTGGGCGGACCAGGCAGCCCAATGGACCCCCGCTTGCCAGCAGGGTCAGGCGGCTGCGATGTTTTGTTCGCCTTACCTCCGTACCCTTTGGCCCCATCATGCCCCTGGCAATCGAGCCTCGCTGAGAGACCTGCCCCATCCGCTTGCCCCCCCCCCCCCCCACTTTGGGTGGCAAAACTCACGCGGAGGTTGCGCGTGACAATGCCACCCTCATGGCAGTGGCTGCGATGCTCCATTGGAGCTGGAAGCTGGGCATCCCAGGGATTTGGGCCCACCCACCCCCCTCCCTTGCGGGGCATGTCTCGGGGCGGGAGCTCTCCTGGATTGACCGATTGCGCGGACAGCCTGGAATTGATGCGCGCCTTGCCCCCCAGGACTGGACGGGGAGGGAAGGCAGGAGAGCCCGCCTCATGTGTGTGCATGTCCCTGGACTTGCTGCCCGCGCTGATCAGGGGGCCCATCCAATTGCTGTGAGGGGCGGGGGGAATCATGTGGATGGGGATGCCCGTGTTCTGATCCCTCCCACGCTTGCCACGGTTGCCGCTGCTTCCCTTGTGAATGCGATCGCGGCCCCCGCCTTCCAGGCGCCGACCCGACCACCGCTGTTACCCCCGCCTACTACGGTGCTTCAGCCCGTTTTGGGGACCCCTTGCGCGGTGTGCGACCCACACACCAACGAGCCCTCTGGGCTGGCGGAGCCATGAGCGTGCTGCACTGTGGTCGCAGCTCCTGTGTGCCTCTGCCTTGAATTGCTGCCCCACCCTTTTCTCGCCCCTTAAGTCGCACGGGCGTCAAGACTCTACACCCTGATAGCCCAGTCCAGTCCAGACGAGGAGGAGGAGGAGGAGGAGGAGGAGGAGAGGACGAGAGGAGGAGGAGGAGGAGGAGGAGGACGAGGGGGAAAAGGAGGACGCGGATGCGAGGAGGAGGAGGAGGAAGAGGAGGAGGAGGAGGAGGAGGAAGAGGAGGCAGGACGACGATGAGGACGACGACCAGAATGATAGTGACCCATCAACAGCATGGTGGTCTGGGGACGGGTCTGGGGACGGCTCAAGCCGCCCTGGCTCAAGCCGCCCTGCCGCCGCCGCCGCCGCCACCGCCGGCGCCCCGCCGCCCTCGCGGGGAGGCCGCCGCCGGGCGCGTCCCATGGACGCCGCCCGCCGCGCTTCCGTGCTGGGCGCCGGCGCGCCCATGACGCCGTTGGCCGTTGTGAGGTGAGGCTCGTTGCATACGCCTTCGAGCTCACTTCTCAACTACTCGGGTGATAACTACAGTCACCCCGCCGTTCAGGCACAACGAACACCGCGCACATCGTGGACTTTGGCTACTCCCGCGACGGCGCTACCACCATCGGTTACATCGGGCTCCTTTTACTGTCCACACAATTCGCAGAGCTCGCGCTCCACTCCCATCCTCTGCGGCGCTGTCTGCAGTGTTACTGCGACCTGGGCTGTGCGCTTTCATGTCGCGATGCCGTGGAGCGTTGCATCCGGCTTCCGGGAGACCTCTGGGAGCGTCAGGCTTGGTCCCGGGCGCACCCATCCTCGGGTCCGGAGTGGGGCGCCAGTCGACTCGTCCACGCTCTTCAACAGGCAGCCGCCGCCTCTCTCACCTTCGAGGCGCTGCTCGGTCGATTCTCGCGATTCCGTGGGAGAGACCATCCCCGGCCGGCATGACATCGGGCGGCTCGCCCTCGACTCCTAGACCACGCGCGCCGGCGGCCAGTGGTTCCGCGGTCTTCCGGCTGCTGTTGTTCGCCCCGTTGCGGGTCTACACCACCATTCCGCGCCGGCGGCCAGTGGTTCCGCGGACTTCGTCATCCTGCTGCTGCTGTTCGGCCGTTGCGGGTCTACACCTACCACGTCATCTGCATGCGCGAGGCGTTAGCTTCTGAACCACACGGTGTTTTACACGCACCCGCCTGTCAGGCACAACCATCACCACGGACGTCGTGGCCTTCTTCATCGGTGCATACAGGCACCCGCCTTTTTCAGGCACAACCATTAACGGGTTTCATACAGACTTGTTCTTTCTCTCAGTGGACCGAGGACTATGTCATCCTGGTCCAGTCAGAGCTTGTGGGGACCGATTTTGAGCGGATTTCGTCGTCGTCGTCGAGCTCAGAAGCTGGCCCAGCCGCGCTGACTGGGGCACCGCGGGAGGTCCAGAAAAGGCTCCAATACGCCCAGGTTCTCAACCCTCGGAGGAAGAGGAACGGGGGCATGAGGATGATGATGATGCTGATCCTGATGCTGGTGCCGATGTTGATGATGATGATGATGATGACGACTATGATGATGAGGAGCCTCTGCCTTACGAGCGCGCAAGACAACTGCCAGCTTTCTCGCCACGGAGCCACGGGGAGCCTCGGGGCACAGTAGCATGGGGCCTCCTTTTCCTCACGGGGGGGCGCGGCCACTTGTATTATCCCACGCGTTGTGCCCCAGCGTCCATAGAGGAAGCTGCTCAAACAACCCACAGAATTCTGAAGCGAAGCCCCGCTCCACGAGATAAGGAAAAACAATGCGAACGGAGGAGGGCGGGAGCCATGCGCGCTACAGAAGCAAGCTGAAGCAATGCGCGCACGCACTAGTAGCCTCTGCCTTACGAGCGTCCCGTGGCACAGTAACAGGAGCCTCCTTTTTCTTACGGGCGCTCGGCCAGTTGTATTAGCTCACGCGTTGTGCCTGAGCGTCCATAGAGGAAGCTGTTCAAACGAGTCACAGAATTCTGAAGCGAAGCCCCTTCCACTCGCGCAAACAATTCGATCTTGGAGGGGAGGGGTGGTGGCGGGACCTTCTCCCTGGTCAAAATTACACACTCACGACAACACAGCAGCATTGGATGTAGACTCGAGGCGTTTGATGTCATTGACACAGGCACTGGCTAGGGCTCTGGACAAAAGGCTTTGGATCCTCCTCGGGACAGAAATCAGCTCGCACTCCAACCGTTGTTTTGCGCCTTCGTAAGTGAGCCATTTGAGGGGCCTCCCAAAGAAAAGAAAAAGGCAGCATATGTTGCGACGCCACTCGCGCGATGCTCAACGTGCTGTTTCATTGTTTCGTTGCCAAGCTCAATATTCCAGCGTTCTCCCTCGTTCCGCAACACCGGGAACCCAAGTGCGCGCTCTAGATTCCGGAGAAGCCGAGAACCGTTGGGCCCAGTGCGAGCCCGCGACCAGGACGCGCAGGGAGCCCCCAAGTGCATGCCCAGATCGTATCCAGACATCACCCAGCCTCTGATGCATCTCACTAGTGTTCGCCTACACATAGCACGCTTGACTCCATGGCGCATGTCGGCGGCAATTGCAAGGTAGCCCAATCGTAACATCTCTCGCGACAGTCTGGCTGCACCTGAAAAGATCGCAAGAAGAGCGGCACCGTCAAAGCGCGCGTAGGCCTGTTGGCGCCTGCAGCGGTGCGGCAGCATTGAGCGGGGTCCTCGGCGCACCCTCCAAACACCTGCTGGCGCGCTCCCCCATTGGCAGAGGACACCGACTTGGGAGCTCGTTGCCGAGGCCAAACGCTTCATCCAGGCGGAGGTCGCGCACGCTCTGCGTCGCATTCTCCTTCGGCGCCGCAATCTCGACGCCGCCGAAGCACTCGCCCTGCGGGCGGATCCTGCGCAGACGCCAGAGGGGCGAAGCCAGGGAGGGCCAGGCCATCTTGACGGCCCCCCCGAATTTGCCGACCTTCGAGCTCACTCTGAGCGCAAGCAGGTGCAGAAGGACTACGGCTGTGACCTCTGCGCCCCTCGCGACGACAGGCGGGTGACCCTTTGCCCGGGTTGCCCTCGACTCGCTGACCTGCCTGCCCACGGTCGAGGACGCCCACGCAAGTGCGGCCAGTGGCCTGACGCCCTCGCTGCCCGTCATGTCCTCGAAGAACTCCTCGTTGAGGTGATCGGAGATCACGAGGTCCAGCTCTGGGGTGCTCATGTGGCCGAGGAACCGCGCGAGCTCGCCCTGCGCCCGATCGAATTAGACCCCGCCAGCGTCGCGCGCCGTCGGCATGCTTGGTCGGCAAGCCAGCCGCGCCAGTCGACGAAGATGCGACCGCCGCGTCGGCGCCTTCATCAGGACGGTTGGCACAGTGCACCCCGGCAGCGCTCACACCCCTCCGCAAACGCCCTAACGACCTTGATCCCTCTCTCGCGCGCGATCGGGAACTCCCGCGGGTGCTTGACGTCGTCGGAACAGGCGCTCTGCTGGCCGCGGCGCAGGCTCGACCACGTCCACGCCCGCAGTGCCCCCTGCAGCCCGGGGCGACCCAGCACCGCGGCGCTTCCCAGCCGACCTGCGACGCCACTCAGAGAGAGCACTCCCCCCGCGAGCTACCCCACCCCCTGCTATGGCCGCCCACAGGCCTTCGGACGAGCATAGCGCTGCCCGCGGCGGGGGCTCGTCAGTAACGTTCTTCTCACTCGGCACCCGCCGCAAACACAGCTGGACATTCCACGAGAGAAAGATGGTCGCCAACTGGCGCCCGACACGTCGCTGGCCCGGCGCACTGGGCCTCCCTTTTTGAGCCGAAAGCAGCGCGCCCATCGAGTCGGTCAAAACAAGCGCCCGCTCATTGACAGATTGGCGGGTCTTCGAAATCTTCCTGACGACCCCACGCAGAGCCCGACCTCCAAGACAAGCGATGCGTTCATTACGCCCCCGCGCCTTACTGCACTCGGCATGCCACTTTGCGCGCAACAGACTACCGTGATGCCCGGGAACAGGAGGCGCCCTGCGTTCGACCACAGCCCCACGTTCATCTCCGTCTCCAAGCAGAACATCTCGGGGGGGTACCCGAGTTCCCCTGAGAAAATGCCACCTATTGGAGCTTGTGCTAGCCTCATCCAGCACCTCTGCGAGCGGGCGAGCAGCGCAAATCCTAAGACCCCACGGAGACGCATCACAAGCGCATGATTTAGGACCCCATGGTTTCGCGATGTCACACTCCAGCAACGGAAGCGAAACCCGGGCCCTCTGCAGTTCTCTCGACGCGGCAGGCCACAATTTACTCGGACGATCTGGGTTCTTTTCGATGAACACATACACGGCGCGAAAGCCGGAAAACAACGCCCGACGACGCGTCGCCCAGCGGGCGATGTGGCCCAAGACTTCATGAAGCGACCTCCCCGAGCACCTCCGCCTCCTGAGAAGCCACTCCAACGCAAGCCGCACCTTCCACCTCATCTCCTGCCGAGGTATTATCCGTCATTCCCCTGGCGCGCTGAGGCCGAGGGGACCCCCCCCCCCCGACTGCGACGACATCGACCTCGTGAGCTTCCAGCCCCGCAGCCCGAACTGCTTCCAGCGACCAGGGTGTGCGCCCACGACGCACATCAGGCAAACTCGAGAAAACTCTTACATAGTCAACATGCACCGAGATGCAATCATGATTATGGTCTCCAGTCGGTCTGCGATCCTGTCACAGAAAAGAGCCGGAAAAAAACCTGGCCCAAGATCTTCTCTCGCATCGCCCGACACCAATACAGCGCGCGCGCCGAGCCCATTGGCGCGATAGTAAGCCGAGGCCGGACAGCGCCACCGGTGCACTCGAAGTCGGGGGGCAGCTTCTTCATCCATTCTGCCTCGATGGAGGTAGATGGAGATGTGTCAGAATTTCGGGGGGTGTTCCGAACGGGCCGAAGGCATCCTTTAAATCGCACTGACCTACATGATACTGCTCTCCCGAATCAAATCGCAGACGGGACAAAACCTCAGCCACTGGGAGCTCGACGCGGTCGCAACTGGAGAAAAAATAAACTGCCGACAGTCGGCAATAAGACGCCGGGCGCCACTTTTCTTGCGCATGATTAAAAAGGCCCACGCAAGCAACGCCCTCCTACTGCGCAAACTCCACCGTGCCCCGAAGAACCAACATCTGCGACACCGACGCATGCCGACGGGCAGACCTGCGCAAGCCGGGATCATGGCACGCATATCTTCATCCCGCTCGCCTCAAAACTCCGCGAGCCCACTGAGTTCGGCAACGCGCGCTCTCTCGTCCACCATTGGACTTCATCAGGTCCATTCGGGTCCAAAATTTGACGCGCGCAAATGGGGGCCGCCCCTGCTGGCCGAAGCACTCGCCCAAGGGAACTGCTGGCGAACTCTCGCCAGAGTAGTCACGCGCCCCGCTGATACTCGAAAAAGCCTCGGCCGGCTGAGCATCTGCGGGGGGAGGGGGGGGGGGGGCCATCCTACTGCCACGTTCACGAAGGTGCCCAACACTGCCCCCGCCTAAAAGATCAGGAGTTGGCAGGGGCCTCGGGGGCGCCACCTAGATGCATTTCAAACAGAACTGAGGCCGCATCAGAACTGGGCCTATTCAACCACTGTTCTGGCGAGACTGGAAGACTGCTCAGCCTTGGGGGCCTTCTAACAGCACAATTCGGAGACATTCTCCGACGCTTTCACCCGAGAAGTTGAATCGCTGCGATATGCCGCCAGCGCTGTTAGTAGCCGACCTGGCGCGCATCGTGAATTAGCCGCCTCATCAAATGGCAGAAGGCCTCTCTGGGTTGCCGGCTGCCGAGGGGGCCACGCCCTGCACTCGCGCGGGCTCTTGACTTCCCTCGCCCACCACTTTCACCTCCTCCGCCTAGGTGCCGGCGGATAAAAGCTCGTTCTTTTCGTGCTTCCCTGGCTTGTTTCTGGATCTACAATTCCTTCTCCAGCTCCTTATTAGCATGCTCCACAAGAGCTGGCGAGCAGCAGACGGTGGGGTTTGACAAATCGAGCTGATCGACGCAGCCTGCTGGCTCCGAACATCCGCACAGTTGAGCGTGTTCGGCAACTCCCCAATCTGCGGCATTCAATCTCGCCGTTGACCGCCACCACCTGCGATGATCTTCTTGGCCTGTATTACGACGAGCCATGTCGCGAGCCACCCAGGTAACAGTTCTTAGCCCTTTGATGGGCCAGTAGCCGATCGCGCTCTCGTTCACGCTCCCGACCACACTGTTCCAAGGTCGTCGACGATCTCCAGTAGGCGAATACTTCACAGGAAGGACACGAGCATCGCTGGCATCCGCATGTTCCCTCCGCCAAGCATCCACCCTCGCTCGAGGCACCTTCTCACTGCAAGCAGATCAGGACCGACACGAGCAAGACCACGATGACCAACACTAGCATCAGGATTGCCAACGCACTCGTCGCCCACTGCGATCGCGGCGCTGCTCTCGGTGAAAAGCCAGATCTCTGGCTCCGCGGCCGCAGGCTGCACGCCTCCGACCGCCAACGCCACAAGGACCTGAGCCTCCTCCATCAGCCCCCGCAGCACGCCTCCAGCTGGCTCAGCACCCGGCCTGAAGTTATACACGCTGGCACTCTGCAAGGTGGCTGGGATGCTGCCGTCGGGACGAAAGTCTCGCACCCCTGTGATGTCCTTGTTGTTCGGCCCGTAGTCCTCTTCGTACAGGTCCCCGTAGGGAGTGTAGATCACCCAGCGAATCTCGCCCACGCTGGCCAGAAGCAGTCTAGCGTGCCACAGGTCATCGTCGCAGCGGACCAGCACCTTAAGTCCTGGCGCCAACGACGAGGAGACCACCGCTGGTGCCGCCGCGGCTGGGGCGGCCCCCACCAAAGCCTGCGCCACCGGGTATTTACAGCTGCGGCGGCTCGCGACACCTCGCGCTCCTCCTGCCCAGCAGCAAGCCGATCACCAGCGCGACCAGCACAAGCCCGAGCTGCACCTCCAGCGTGAAGGTGAACGTCGAACCGGTTCCTGTCGCACACTCTGGCCCCTGAAGCTGGTGCGCAACCAGGCGCTCGGGTGCCGCACACTCCGCCGCTTCGCCTGACCCTAAGCACTGGCACGCGCAAGGTGGACACCTGTCTTGCGGCGTCGCAGCACCGCCAATCAGAGTGTACAGACCGAAGAGAATGTGTTTGGTGAGCGTGTAAAGTCAGAAGGGGTCCACTTGCATGCAGACCAGGGAAACCTTCTGAGCCACACACGCTACGGAAGCAGGCTGGAGCAAGACGGGCACGCACTAGTATGACGATGACGGTGATGGCGATGACGGTGGCGAGAAACACAGGGAGGGGGAGAGAAAGAGACAGAGGGACATGGAGGAGGCTGCGCAACTGTTTGGGCTCAAGCCAAGGGAGGGGTCGCTCACCCGCCACACAACCCCCGAACGACCCCCGCTCGTTGCCAGGACTCTCTCCGGGGACGACCGGCGCGAGACGGGGGCGCCGGCGCCTGGACGACCCCCGCTCATTGCCGGGACTCCCTCCGGGGACGACCGGCACGAGCCGGGGGTGCTCTCAACGCCAGCGTGGGGCTCAAGCGCCGTGCCAAGTCGGTACAGATGGATCCCGCGGCTGCTCTGGATTTGGTTTGGGACATCCTGGGGTGCCGCGAAGAGCTTCCTATGAAGCGGGCTGATGTCCAACGTTCGACTTCTGAGCGCCTTAACGACCTGTGCGCCGCCGACGGCGACACTCCGGCTTTCAAGCGCTTCTGGAAACACAGTGTAGTTTACCACAAATACAACAATGCCGTGGGCGATTGGGAAGAGAGGACCACGCAGGTTGACAATATGGAAATCCTTAGGGAACGGAAACTGAATTACCAGGAGACCAACCTTGTTGAACCTGGACACCGGCAGGCGGATGTCAAAACACGAGAGCCGACACTGGAGAATCTTCTGCGCTACCATGATCCTGGTGAGCTCGCGAGGGTTCTGCACGCATGTGCACAAGCAGATCCGCGGCGAGGAGAACGTCAAAGGTTCTCGGATCATCCAGCTGACCCAAGACTTCAACGGGGAGCCTTGTAAGAACAGTTTCGACAAACGTTCCTTCTACCTGGGCCCTTTGGGAAAAGAGGACCAGAAACGCTCTCGCTGGAAACCAACACCGAGGGCAGGTGCGCGCTGACGCTCAAGGCCGGGCCTAGCGGTGTGCCTTTCCGAAGCCTTGCTGCATCGCCAGGGGCTTGCACGGGAACAACACGGTCGCCGTGTACACTGCTGCTGGCAGAGGAGCCGCCGGGCAGCTTTGAAAAGGAGGACGGCTGCGTCCCCGGGCCCAGCGCACGGCCAGGGCTGCAGTTCCTGAAAGGCCGTCCGCTCGGCATGTGCGGCGGGTCCACGTGCTGCGGGGTTCTCTCTGACGAATTCGACGATGCCGTCAAAGACTACAAGCAGCTTCGCACGCGGCTGCTCGCGGTGAAGCGGCGGTGCGAGGCTTACGCGAGAGAGGCTACCCTGACGGAGGAACGCGACTTCTGGACTCGCCTGGCCAAGAGGATAGCCGTTTGGAAGGGGGGCGACGACTTGCAAAGCAATTCCAGTTGTGCGAGACGAGACGTCCAAGGTGACCGGGCTGGTGCTGGCGAGCCGCGGCCGGTGGCGACCGGGGGCAAGCCCGCGCGACGACGCGCCCCAGCCCGAGGGCGACGACAGCGACGCGCTGGGGGACGAGGACGACGACGAGCCCGCCGCCGCCGCGACCGCCCACCCCGACGCTCTCTGGCTCTTGCTCGACGCCCTGCGCGACCGCGAGGGCAGCGAGGGCCAGCCAGAGCGGCGCGGCCACAAGCGGCCGGACAAAGTCGAGAAGGCGCTTGAGCGGGCCGCGCGCCAGCGGGCGCGTTCCTGTCCGGAATAGGCAGGCTGCCGCGCTCTCTCTCTCTCTCTCTCTTTCTCTCTCTCTTTATACGGCGTCGGGGACAAGGCCCTCGCGAAATCACACCAGCCCTCTGGGCGTTGGTGGGCGTTTCCTGTTCCACACGGCGACGACGACAACGACGACGACGACGACGACGACGACGACGACGACGACGGCGACGACGAAAACGACGACGAACGACGACGAACGACGACGGCGGCGGCGGCGGCGGCACGGCTGCGGCGGCGGGGGCGACGACGACCACGACGACGACGACGACGACGACGACGACGACGACGACGACGACGACGACGACGACGACGACGACGACGGCGGCGGCGGCGGCGGCGGCGGCCGCGGCGGCGGCAGCGACGACGGCCACGACAACGACGATGACGACGACGACGACAACGACGGCGGCGGCGGCGGCGACGGCGGCAGCGGCGGCGGCGGCTGCGGTGGCGGCTACGACAACCACGACGCAGACGACGACGACGACGACGACGACGACGACGACGACGACGACGCGGCGGCGGCGGCGGCGGCGGCGGCTGCGGTTGCGGCGGCGGCGCGGCGGCGGCCAGCGGCCACGGTCTCGTCGGCGGTACGGCGGCGGCTGGCTGCCACGGTCCTGAGATCCGACGAGACCGACGACCGCACCTTTCCGCCTCTTTCTTCGAGCTGGATGCGGCGGCGGCGCGGCCGCGGCGTTGAGCGCGCACGGGCCTTCGGCGTAGCCAGGAAACTCATCGCGGCTGGGTGCTCTGCGCGCCGGGAGACGCAGGCTTTCGGGGGCTTTGCCTCGGGCTGCCGCTCGCGCGCTCCATCCACCGTGCCCTCCTCCTCCTCCTCCTCCTCCACCTCCTCCTCCTCCTCCTCCTCCTCCTCCTCCTCCTCCTCCTCCTCTCCTCCTCCTCCTCCTCCTCCTCCTCCTCCCCCTCCTCCTCCTCCTCCTCCTCCTCCTCCTCCTCCTCCTCCCCCTCCCCCTCCCCCCCCCTCCCCCTCCCCCTCCCCCTCCCCTCCCCCCTCCCCTCCCCTCCTCCTCCTCCTCCTCCTCCTCCTCCTCCTCCTCCGCCTCCGCCTCCTCCTCCTCCTCCTCCTCCTCCTCCTCCTCCTCCTCCTCCTCCTCCTCCTCCTCCTCCTCCTCCTCACGTTTGGATCCGCGGTGAGTACCCTCTCTGCTGGCCTCCCCAGCAGCCCTCGAAAGTGGCGACAGTTTCGCAGGCCGCAGCCCCCCAGGGACGGCGAGATCCCGTTTGGACCCGCTGTGATTACCATCTTTTGCTGGCCTCCCCAGCAGCCCTCGAAAGTGGCGACAGTCTCACAGGTCGCAGCCCCGCAGGGACGGCGAGGTCCCGTTTGGATCCGCGGTGAGTACACTCTCTGCTGGCCTCCCCAGCAGCCCTCGAAAGTGGCGACAGTTTCACAGATCGCAGCCCCCCAGGGATGGCGAGGTCCTGTTTGGATCCGCGGTGAGTGCCCTCTCTGCTGGCCTCCCCAGCAGCCCTCGCAAGTGGCGACAATGTCACAGGTCGCAGCCCCATGTTTGGATCCGCTGTGAGTACCCCCTCTGCTGGCCCCCCCAGCAGCCCATCGAAAGTGCGACAGAGTCACAGGTCGCAGCCCCCCAGGGACGGCGAGGTCCCGCTCAGGTCCGCGGTGAGTACCCTCTCTGCTGGCCTCCCCAGCAGCCCATCGAAAGTGGCGACCGTTTCGCAGGTCGCAGCCCCCCAGGGACGGCGAGGTCCCGTTTGGATCCGCGGTGGGTACCCTCCCTCTCTGCTGGCCTCCCCAGCAGCCCTCTAAAGGGGCGACAGCTTCACAGGTCGCAGACCCCAGGGACGGCGAGGTCCCGTTTGGATCCGCGGTAAGTAAGTACCCTCTCTGCGGGCCTCCCCAGCAGCCCTCGAAAGTGGCGACAGTTTCGCAGGTCGCAGCCCCCCGGGACGGCGAGGTCCCGTTTGGATCCGCGGTGAGTACCTTCCCTCTCTGCTGGCCTCCCCAGCAGCCCTCGAACATGGCGACAGTTTCACATGTCGAAGACCCCAGGGACGGCGAGGTCCCGTGTGGATCCGCGGTAAGTGCCCTCTCTGCGGGCCTCCCCAGCAGCCCTCGAAAGTGGCGGCAGCTTCGCAGATCGCAGCCCCCGCAGGTCGCAGCCCCCCAGGGACGGCGACCACAGGGGGGGCGGGAGAAGGACGCGACCACACCCCTCTATTCAAGACGAATACCCAACCAAGGAGGGTTGGGAATGACAATACGAATAGAATGCAAATTCAGTACGTAAACCATACGAAAACAATGCGAAAACAACAAGAATACAAAACGAAAGCGGCACGAACACATTACGAATACAAGACGAACGCAATCATAATACAAGGGGAACGCAATGTCGTTCTTAGGCGACACGCAGGCGAGCGTGAAAGTACAGATCCCGCCTAATTTCTTGGGCCACAATTTTTACACACGCAATACGAGAAACTAGTACACGAAGGCGGGGTGTTCAACAGGACGGCCTCCTCGGGAATCCTACGAATTCCTGAAGATTCTGAAGATTGATAGATGCCTGATAATGTCTCCAGGAACCCCCAGGGACCCTACCAATTCCCAGGTTCCCGGGAGGGTCTCCTAAGGAATCCCATGAATTTGTATAGACCCTACTACAAAATTTCTGGATTCCTGAGAGGGCTTCTTGGGGAGTCCCAGGGATTCTGAAAGATCCCACTGGCTCCCAAATTCCAAAGAGCCTCTCGGGGAACCCCAGGAATTCTGAAATATCATATCCGTTCCCAAATTCCAGAGACCCTCGGGAACCATAGGGACTCCTAAAAACCCTACTAATTCTCAGATTCCTAAGAAGGCCTCTCGAGCAAGAGGAAAGAACAACATAATCCATCAAGCAAAACACAAGGTGAACACCTCCCGCGTGCACGAGTGCCTGCGTTTACCACAAAGCTTGCGTACACATCCAAGGTCCTGACGGAGCCAAACTCGAGACAATCGCTGGGGGGGCGAACGCATTAAATTCAATGTGTGAACCGATAGCGAGTAGTGGTTAATATTGATTGTTGTGGCCCAAGGCTGCGTTCGCCGCAACGACTTCGAATATCGTATAACGAACGCGAATCACAACGCCAGCGTGCACCACAAAGCATGTGCACCACAATGCTTAGCGTGCACCACAACGCCAGCGTGCACCACAAAGCCTGTGTGCACCAAAGAGGGCCTCTCAGGGAACCCTGTGGATCCTACCAATTCCCATATTCCTGCGGAGGCATCTTACGGACCCCTCGGGATCCTTCAAGACCTGCAGCACCCCTGAAGATCTTGCAACATCCGTCGAAACCCGCCATGACCCATCATAATGCCTCAGGGTCCTTCAGCATCCCGAGGAAACCTGGGGGTGCCGTCGGCCCGAGCTTTAGCAGTCTTGGTGGCCAATGGGAAAGGTTACACCAAGAGCCCCTTGTAATTCTAGTGGAACTATGCCATAAATGCTGCGACATGAAAGTGAGGTGTGAAGCTGTACTGCTTCTGCATTTCATGATACAAAAGGATTTACTATGATACCGGAGAAAAGCCCAATCTAATTTGTGTTGGGGCTATGGGGCTATATGACTATAGGGCTATAGGGCTATGGGGCTAACGGGCTATATGGGCTATAGGGGTATAGGGGTATAGGGGTATAGGGCTACTGGGCTAGAGGGCTATAGGACTATAGGGCTATAGGGCTATAGAGCTATAGGGCTATGGAGCTATAGAGCTATAGGGTTATAGGGCCATGGGGCTCTAGAGCTATAGGGCTCTAGGGCTATGCACCTCTGGGCACCCCCGAGCACCCGGGCACACGGGCACCCACGGGCACCGGGCACCCGGCCACCGAAATTCTGCCACACAAATCCTAACCCTTGAGAACCCGCTAGGACCCCTACAGAGGCAAGCTCTGATTGGGGAACAGTTGCCTAATAATGAATCGTTCTCGACGGCAGGATGTGGTGTATCCGACACGAGGGTGGGGTGTGAAACTGGCGTTTTCCTGAATCCCCTGTGGATCCAC